AATATGTTTTTTGACTATTTTCATGTCGTATTCCGCCATTTGCGACTGTAACCTACTCGTATTGAAATTTCAACATCAAATTTTGATACCCCATTGAAAACTGCAGCAGACGCTATATATTTGAAAGAAAAAATATTACTTCGTATGTGCGGCTTATCTAACCATTATGAACCTCTACTTGACCGAGTTGTCAAACTGTTGGGAAAAAAAATTGGTCAGAAAGTAGAATTGGAAAACTGGGTGTATATGCAGTTAGGTAGAGTGAAAGATGCTCTATTTAGTGCTACATTTGATTTTCTCTTTATTTTTGTTTGCGATGTTTAATATGAGTCGCAAGTAAAATACCGACGATTTCAGCAATATTTTAAAAACCTACTGCAAGTAAATTGACTTTATATTTTTCATACCGAGTTCGCAATCATAATGCGACGCCACCATCATGTTCAGCATAATAAAACTGAGATGATTAGTAAATCCGAGAACTTTTTCGAATGATATATAATAGCTTGTGGCCTATTGTACTGTAGGACGTCTCTATGCTAGAAACCAGGAACTAACTATTGGCCAATATTCATTGATTTCTTCTGGTATACTTTGAAAACACCGGCAACATCATTTTTTGTAGTCAATTCTGAGTGTGAAGTTGATCATTCCATAGAGAAAATTGTTCTCTTCAGACTGGTGCGAGGGTAAGACCCCTAGCCCGTTTCAATCAGAAACAACAAAAATGTTCTCGAGAACTCTAAAATTGGCCAAATTACATTTAAATGGATCCTAACATGGCACGCGGTCATCCTGTTTCGTGCTAATATTTATTGTTTAGCTTCAAAAGCAGTCCGAAATCACTGTAACTATCTTTTCGAACTTTAACAGCGCTACTGATGTGCTAGGCGTAGAGTGAATATTTTGAAAAGGTTGCTATACCTATCTCAGATTGCTTTGAAACTAAAAAGTAAACAGCAGCACTGAATACAGAGTGATCGATTGTCCCTATCTTGACCTATTAAGGGTAGTTGAATGTCAAATACCTGCTTTCAGACTCTCAGAAAAATGTTTACAGCTTCTAGTTATGGATGTGATGTAGGTTGAAGGTGTGGACGTGGATGTGAGCATGAGTGGACTTTTTGTGCGGTTGTGAAATAAATAAAAGAGCCACATTCGTCTAGTCGCACACTCGCATCTAGAGCTACATTCACACATACACCCCCACTCATACTGAAATCTGTCTCATCAAAAGTTTCTAAAGTCATTTCAGATTTTCAGAGGTTTTCTAGATGACTTTTTCAGAGAGCGGTAAGTTTTGATGGATGGATATGAGATCTGGAACTGACATATAGTATAAAACCATAGATGAACTCCAAAAGCATTTTTTGTATCAAGTTTTAGCCCATTTAGAGTACATATTGATGTTCTATTCTACGGAGAAGAGGAACAGGGCAGATTCGATTTTTTTCGGCGAACATATTTTTTTCTCTTATCATGTGAAAAATTGCTACACGCCTCATACCCGTATATTTCCATTTGAGTTCAAAAATTACAATCAATTTAACACTAAACATACTTTCAGCTTTACTTCAGTTCTCGTGTATTCTAAAATATGACATACTTACTACAACTCAGGAAAGATACCAGGAAAATATCTGAAACGCTTGAAAACCTGAAATTGGAATTTGAGAAATGTTTGGATTTAATATTTATAGTAGAGATCAGATGCACTATCCGTTGGTCATTTTATGGACATGAAAGTTGAACCTTATTTTAACTTTGCATAAAGGTTTCTGACCGATGCAGAATATTCTGTTTTAATTTTACCACAAATAAGAACGTAAAATACAGTCTTGTTTTGAAAAACAACTGATTGTTTTCCTTACACATGAACCCAATATTGAACAAAGTGAGACGCATCCGCGACGGTTTTTAAAGCCAACTTGATCATGTATTTAGCAAGGATTATTCTTAAAGGTCTTGTTGAAAAGAGAGGTGTCCGAAGATCATGATATCATTTTGTCTTTTCACATAGATGGACGTCGCGTCCGAAACAACTTTCTTCTTCCTTACCTATCTCATTTTATGTGGGTGGCAATATGTTCACATCAATGATTGACTATGCTCGTTTATGCAATGTCTCTCTGGCTACTCTGTGTGCTGCCTGTCACTGCGCGTTTCTTTTTGAATTAACAGGCGACTGGGATGTTATCTTTGCAATGACAATGGCCACTCGACCGCTGGAACCCAAGGCTGCAAACCTTCTAGGTAATTGCTCCGATCGTCCACGGATGCGAATACAACTGGATGCGAACCAGAATTTCTTTTCTCTCGTTCAAATTGTTCATTCGACTGTGAATGCAACGTATGAGCATATTCCCATACAAAATGAAAGTGTGTCATCATTTCTCAACCAAGCGCCATGTTCTGTATTTCAATTCGACGAGGTAATCGATGAAATTGCTTTTGAGAATGATCAAGATGGAGATGTACGTTTGAAAACCGTGTATAATGAACAAGATCATGTCCGAGAGGGAGCATTTTGGCGGTTTCTTGCCGGCCACCCCTGGGGAACATACATTTCGCAAAATGTTCAGGCCAATGCTTTCACGTGCACATTTGTCTTCTCAACTCTTTATTATGAACAACAGACAGCCGTAAGTTGAATTTTTGCGAGGATATTAGACTAAATAGCATAATCTTCTCTATATATCCTTAAAATGTTCCAACACTGATTAAAACTAGGTTGCTTTTCCAAAGCACAATATCATCATTTCTAAAATACTGCTGTCTTTGAGATATTTCAACTGTGGGAGTAGTTAGCCAGAAACTGACTTTTGTTCACTGTAGCTTGTTCGGTGAAATAGCATGCTATATTGAGCCAAAACAACGGTTTGATCGATATATGGTAATTTGGATATTATTTCATTCTCTTGATTGTAGGAAATAATCTCAATCCATTAGGTGTTGTCGAAACTTGTAACCTGACTGGTCGAAGATTGAAATCAAGTTTTTTGATAACAGAAACAATGTTAAGATTTCTTTTATAATAGTGGTGTATAGGTTTTTGAAGGAAAGAAATTTGAATCTGCCATTACTTTTGAAAAAGATTGTAGTCGAGTTGTTAAAAGTGTTTTGTCTTTATTAATATCATCAATATTCGATCCGATATCAAGAAAGAAAAAAACCTATGAAAATAAATAGTGGAATGGACTAGATAAGACTGCTATATTATTATTGTGATAATCAGGACGTAGATATAACTAACTCTGGAGTTTATTTGACGTTAATAGAGTATAAAAAGAGCAGTGATTGATTAATGCCACTATATGGTTCCATTCGGTCTGGTCTGATCAATTCTACCGGTACCAATAAGAAAAAAATCGTACCAGTTGCAACTCTAGTCAGAATTAGTCATGTGCCTATTAGTAGCAAAAGGACTGAGATTGCAGAGAACACTTTTGTAAAGTTCTTCTTGTTGAAATGCCCAAGAAAAGATTTTTTATAGTATCAAGAAACAGTCAAGGATTCTCTGTTTTATAGAAATTGTTTATAGTATACAATGTCGCTGTTTCCAGTCCGATCAAACAAAGTTAGATGGAAGGACAATAAATAACGAATAGTATTCGTATTTTACCCTACACAGGATACAAGAAAATGGTACATAAATTCGGAGTCCCTGGCTACACGGTTCCCATACTGACCAATGTAATATTCTTTTCTCAAAAATAATGCATAGTTCTATCAAAAAATGCGGGTTATGCACAACTTCTATATTCTCAAAATCGTATCGCTCTAGGAATGATGATAAATTGAAAGATATGAAAATTTTTGTGTTTTGCACTATCAAATAGAGAGATCTAAAGACTCGATGTCTTGTGAAAAATAAGATGGTTTGTGCCGAATACAGTCACAGATTAAGAGAACACTTTCAACTGTCATTCTTCGTGACCCGCTTGAAATTGAACGTTTTAATAAAAATAGAGGAATCACACTTAGAATTGTGCTTATGTAAAGCCAGTAGTTTGTGTAGTGCACTTTGCTTCCTTTTGTCGAACTATTCATACCCACACGATTTCATAATGAATTCTTCTCTTTATATAGGAACGCCTTACGGAACAATTTCGATGTTTACTTGAACGCTTCTTCGAAAATAAGGCCACCCACAACGATCGAGCTACGAAATCATTGGCATGCATGCTTCAATGCGCTGAATAAACATGTTCATTTTTTCATATTCGTTCTCGTTAACTCAATAAAACGAACTCTAACAAAATCTTCTAATTGACATTATGACACACTAACACATTTTCTTTTTGTCTGAAAAAGAGCATGTCAGGATGGAGGACATCAGAGAGTCATTTTGTTAAAAGTCTTACTTATTAAGCGAAAAAAAGGATCACACGTTCCATGACTCAAAAAATGCGATAAAAGTCGGCGCCAATTTATATAAGTGTTTCTATATATAATAAAAATGAAGCTTAATAAAAAACGAACTATGCACTGCCCTGCATCCTGATGTGCTCTAAAAAAAATAATTAAAATATATAGAATCGGCCTGAATAGAGAAATTTGGGACGCGCGATCGAAAAGGCATAAGCTAAGAAAAAACGAAAAACTTTTCCCATTTGATCTAAAAAACGCATATTTTTCAATAGAAATCATGAAAAATTTTGGCTAAAACTGAAGTATTAAAAATAAAAAATCGTATGGTTTCTGAAAAAGCAGACTTTCGTACTACCTTCGCATGCATTTATCTCGATTTTGGGTTTTCTGAGAAAAAAATCGACATTTTTAAGGAGGGAAAGGCTTAATTAGTTCTAACGATCCATCATTTCTCATCTTTCATTTATACTTTTCACACAAGCATACATATTCATTTTATTTTATATGATCCCTTCGCAATATTATTCAAGTTGATAAAATAGTGTACAAATGTTTATATAAGCAGTATATATAGCAGTTTCTAGATTAAAGAATTCCAATAGATACTTTGTGAACATTTAGTTTTGTTTTCAAGTTTGTCCATTTTTCTTGATTAAATTCACTCTTTCTGTTGAAAAGAATTCACCATATGATTTATTCCATTTATCATTTAATTCGATGTCCTTTCTATTGTCATATGGTGTAAAACTCTCTATTACACTATTGTAACCAAGATGAACAAAAAATGGAATCGACAGCCGTTCCTTGTTTACAAATTTTACTCGATGCCATGGAGACTAGAAAAAATAATAAAACAAATATCATAAATAGAAATATGAATGATATAGATATTCGTTGAATTTAATCACTATTAACTATAGAATTACCTTATAATAATTATTTGTAATTTTTTCCATATAAAGACCACAATTAACTAAGAAAGTATCACTTGAAGATTCGATATCAATATATCCATCTGGAGTTTCAACTTGTAAATTTGCAACATCTATATAAATTGAAGAAAGAAATATCTCAGTATTATTTTAATTAAATCAAATAAGATGATGACTATTCTTTGATTTAAATTCTTACATGGCTGATAGAGAACTGTTAAAAGTGAGACGTCTGTATGTGTATCAAAGTTTAGTTTTTGACCATCAGGTGCTGTTATCACTGGTGGATAATTTTCAATATAAGGATAACGAATTAGTCGTAATGATGAAATTGTATCTTCTGGATTGTAGAAATTATCAAAAAAATTTTCATTTTTGCCAAGAGCTAATGCAAAACCATGCAACAAAATTTTACACATGCAAAACATTTTCCAATAATATTCAGTTATGAATTTCTTGAAACCTGGATGTTTTGTTTCATCTGGCCATTGGGTGATTTCATGTAAAGGTGTTTTCGCTTTAATTAAAACATGATCAGCATTAAATGATGGATTTTGAACATACTAAATTTCATACAAATCAAAGTAAATTAAAAATAAATAATATAATTAATAGAAATTCATAGTTTCTATTTATAATTAGTAAAATTAATATTTAAATATTTTCATATTCTCTACTATCTTATTAAATGCAATAAATAAAGAAAGAAATCTATGATGACAATCTTATAAAATAATCATTTTCATGGCAAAGTAAATATTTATTTTATATAAAACTTACTAATGATTCGACTGCTTTAACACCTTTAATCGACATGTAATAGCCAGTCAAAATATTCGTATTATTTTTATTATAAGCATTAATAGCCATCTTGAATTTTTCATCTTCATTCTCCGATAAATGATAGCGCTGAATTCGCTCGAATAATTCATCAAGACAATCAATTGTATGATTGGAAATGAAAAAGAATCCTGTATCACGACATGATCGATCAATTTTCTTAGCTACTTCCATCTTGGCATCCATATCATCACCAAATAAGGCAGAAATATCTATTGTGTCAAAACGTGACATTTTCTTTTCTTTCTTCCTATTAGATTACGTCAAGTTTACTTAATAATTTTTCAGATCTAAACAAAACATTAAATATATTAAGAAATATAGATCAAAATCGAATTAAAATGGATTTAAAAGTATCTATATTAATATAATATTTGTATAATTTAATACAAATCACCATTTAACTGTTGCACTAGAACAGTGGCAGATCTAGCGTTAGGCGATCCGGCAATCACCATCTCGTCACCCTCAAGTTTTTTCTCAATAGAAATGATTAAAAAAAGAGTTGTAATGCCTGGGATGGGCTTCGAAAACTGTTTTTTGACCATAACCGCCATTCCCTTACTAATTTTTTGGATCGCCACTGCCTAAACTTTTCTTTTGCTATTGTTTCAATAAAAAAGTTTAATAAAAATAAGAACTCAGTTTGTGTTTGGTACGTATACATGTACTAGACGAGAACCACACTTAACTTTCTAATCATGAAAACATAGACTAGTAGAATCGTTCAAAGTTACTCTTCTAGCTGGTTATGATCAATGGAATAGCAAATGCTTCTTTAACCGTTTGGCTACGGGTTTAATTTTCTAAATAGAATTCTAGTTAGCCACACTCTCACAAACTCAACAAGAGATATACATAGTTCTATATGTATATTGTGACCAGAGAGAAAGAATGAATATAGAACAAGACAACAACAATAAAGAGGAAAAGAGAGACCGTAGACTGTCTGAGTAGCTGGATAGATAGTACTGCTAACAATCACTAACGATTAGGTATCATATATGATACTCGCGTAGCCAAAGGGTTAACAAGTACAGCTAAACTTACTTCTTGTATAATTTAATGTTCCGATTTTAGAAAATGAATACTTACATGGAATGAAAAGCGAATGAAACTGAACATTTTATTCTTGGAAACAATTTGCTTTTATAGATCGAAAAACGAGTGTATTATTGTTGATATATAGGAAGTAGAAGAAAATAAGTAAATGTCGTGTTCCTTTTTTGCATATGATAAAAAAGGGCAATATAAAAATGATACCTTTCTTGAAACAATATTTTTTCCAATTTTTCATACTGACGTCATTTTGGGGGTAACCTTTATCTTTTTGTACAGAAAAAGGAAGTCAGAAAAAGGAACTGATGATACATATTTGTTTTCTTCCAGTTCTTCTACGTCATAAAAATACTCTCTTTTTTCGACCAATAAAAGCAACTTGTTCTCAAGAGTTAAATATTCATTTACACTTGCTTTTAATCATACGTAAGTATTTACTTCATAAACCTCACACATGAAATTTCATGAGAATAAGCTAGTTGCACTTTTCCAAGAAGCGCCTGCTATTCCATTGACAGTAACTAGTCTAAAGACTAAGATTTAATGGGTGAAGATAGCTGCAGTGTCTACTAATTAGCTTCAATATTTTTACTTCTTTAAATAGTTAGCTGTACTAGATCGTGAAGTTAATGTAGGTAAATTCAGAGAAAGCTATTAATTTGTTTATTTTTTCTTGATTAATGATTTAAGTGTTGTTTTCATTCAAAATTCATGCTGATTCTTTCATTTACTGTTTTTCTCGTTGAGTAGGTATAGGTAAGAAATCAAATAGATCGACTTTCCGTTACTAATAGAGCAAGCTTCTAGAAGAATTTATCGCATCATTCGACTGTTGTAAGATGTTGAACTTTTGAGCACAAATGGTATTCGACTGGTTATCAGTCTTTGATGTAGGCTAACTCTCTAAAAGTTATGAATGAATGGAATTCTAGCATGTGGATAAAAACGTTTCACTTTATATACTTCTGCGAAGATGAAGGAACAAGCAAACTATGAATTCTGAGAAAATCTTGTGTTTATGGAGCATAGCAGTGCAGATTATGTTCCTAATCTAAAGAATGGCTAGTATAGTCAATACGGCTTAGTTTTGATAGACAAAATGAATCTCATTCGCGTTGAGGTCTGAACTTCTACGCACTGACAAAATAATCTCAAAATTCTGCATGGCAACACTAGGGTTTGCAAGAGTTTTTACTAATCCTGTGGAATTAACTCTTTGGTGTTATCCTTCGTAGTACGCTCAATATCTTAATACACTGATTCTACAATGTCTGTTGGACTTGATCCTTAAGAAAAGAAAAAGTAGCTCGCAGAAAAAGTTCCCAAGTTGTCATTTGATAAGCATTTTCACCCGCCGATTTTCGTTTCTCACTGATATCAAAACTCTAGATGAGGCTCTTAGAGTGACGCTTTCCAGATAAGTCGAGAACTCGGTGTTGGATCGTCTCGATGAGCAGTTCCTGACTATATGAATGGATGCTGACGAGCGAACAGAAATTGATCAAAATAAAAAAAAGATTTTTCTTCGATAGATGTTTCAATTTCGAGTCTTCATTAATTTACCTATCGAATATATGCGAAAGAATAGAATTGAACATGGGTACTTAGAACTGATCTTCACTGAACAGTTGATTTAAATATGAATCGGTAATCATCTATGAGAAACACTTTTTGAAAGTGTTAAAAGATAATACTTCAAAATGTTTTCTTTTCTTCAATTTTCGTTTCTACTTTTTAAACGTAAAAATAATGTTTTTATCAAGAAAAAATAAACTTTTCCACATGTCTGATTGATACTAGAAGTTTTTTCTATTTTAAATTTTGTTTAAATAAGTTATTTATTCAGTATAATATGCAATAATCAACTGATTTGCACGATATATATATATATACATGCCAGTTTTTGAATTACTAAGAATGCTCACAGCAACTGACGGAAGAGGCAGTAAAACTAATATTTTAAATTGCACTGTATTCACAGTATTTTCGTAGTAAGCTTCAGTTTTTATACTATGTCTACAGAAGTGTCATTAGGTTAAAATGTCGGGCAGGAGCGACGATTTGTCGAAATTTTTTATATCATCATCCAGAAAAGCAAAATTTCCGAAGATTCTGAAGAAGGTGTTTACTGTCTCCCAACTCCGTTATCCTTGTATGTCTGTCACATCTATGATGCAAACAACATTGTTAAGGCGTTTGTCACATCTGTGAGAGGGAGGGCTACAAATTCTTACCCTTATACGCTTCAACACTCCTAGATCCTGCTTCATAAAAAAAGTACTGCTCCTTTTCATATAGAAAGACGGATTAAATCGTTGAGAAAAAAATTCAAAGGAACGTTACAAAATATATTCCAGTAATTATTTCTGCATTTTATAGAACATTTCATATTACACTACTTGTGCTACACACAACTGGTATATATCAAGTTACACTGCTTTTCTAATTATTTACATTTTCTTAAAGACAATCAATATTATCGTTTGAAAACATTATTTGTCAATCAAGGGAGAACCTTTACGCAAATGCGTATCCAAAACAAATTTGATTATTGGGAAAATGAAATTAACAAAATCAAAGAAAGATGCGACTTAAACGGTTTGTTAAAGCAAGAGAAAAGAAACAAAGTGCTTCTAAGTCAATATGATCATGTGAAGGAACCAAAATCTATTACATTCAACATTGGTGACAAAGTTTATCAAAAGTTGAAAATAATGTGTTGTGAAAATGACCTTAGTTTGTATTCAGTTTTGCAATTTGTTTGGCACAAAACATTGAGCATTTATAGCAACAGCAGTCAAACAGTTATTGGAACAACCGTGTACGGATTTGATTTTTTGCCATCGATTGTGGATCACAAAGTGGGCAATTTAATTATTGATGCAATAAAAAATATTCAAGACAAAATGAATGACATGATTACTCGAATTGATGCCGATTTATCACAACCAAATAAAGAAACTATGAAATACAGTTTATCCGATAGTCTATTTATTTATGAAAGTGTTTCCAATGCTGTTGAAAAACTAGATCATCCTTTAATAGTATTTGCTTATGAAACAGTCGACAATGAATGCATAACATTTGTATTACATTATGCTGGTGAATTATTTGAAGATGAT